ATATACGCAAATGAAGAAGTTGACCTTATCTCATGCTTCCACTTCTAAATTTACAGTGAAATGCCAATGTTTCAGCTTTTCCACGTGGACGAAGATTACAAGCTGTACGACATGCTGAACAAGTTCCAGACGGGCAAGAGTAAGTGATACCTACATAAGCGCCTATGTGTAGGTATGAGTAAGTGTTACCTACATACGTACCTATGTGTAGGTATGAGTGAGTGATACCTACATACGTACCTATGTGCAGGTCCACATGTACACATAGCTGACTCCTGGAAAACTTTAGGGAACCGGTTACAGATTACTTTGTCCGATGGGGGGCGTATGTATGTCCAATCTGGTGTCGTTTACGATTTCGGAGGGTGTGTGCACATGCGTAGTAAGAATCAAAGTGCTACTGTACCTGAGTGCTCGTTGTATTGTGTGTTGTATCGCGTGCGCAGAGTCCTCAGCAGATGGATATATGAAGTGAGTGGTGACCCCTTGGTGATAGGGTTTGTAGGGTTGTGTAGGTGCACTTGTTTATCTATTTGTTTTAACGTTCTGGTGCGTGATGCATAGCGGGACACCTATAGCCCGATTATGTCTAACGAATACGTTCACTTCGCTTCACTACACCTCTCCCTCTCTCTCTTTCTCTCTCTATGTGTGTGTGTGTGTGTGTGTGTGCAGGTCATATGGCAGTGGAATAAGGTTTTTAGAGTTTGAGAGTTTTAAGGTTGTATAGGGAAAAGGTTTGGGGTTTTCTGCTAACGAATGCTCACTTCACTACACCTCTCTCTTTCTTTCTCTCTCTCTCTCTCTCTCTCTGCGTGTGTGCGTGTGTGTGTGTTTGTAGGCCATATGACAGTGGTATAGAGTTTTAGAGTTGTATGAGAAAGGGTTTAGGGCTCTATGCTAACGAATGCTCACATCACTACACCTCTCTCTCTCTCTGTGTGTGTGTGTGTGTTTGTTTGTAGGTCATATGACAGTGGTATAGGGGTTTAGGGTTGTATAGAGAAAGGGTTTAGGGTTTTATGCTAACGAATGCTCACATTACTACACCTCTCTCTTTCTCTCTCTCTCTATACATATATATTTCTCTCTCTCTCTCTGTGTGTGTGTGTGTGTGTGTGTGTATGTGTAGGTCATATGGCAGTGGTAAAAGGTTTAG